TTGATAAATTGGAGAATCCTTGAAATTTAATGAATTATTATTCCTGCTTGTTAAGGAATTAATTGTTATTCCTGTAAATGAGATTAATTTATAAATTGGAAATTATTTGAATTTAAGGAATTTAATTAATATATTGAGAATTGATGCATTTGAAGGAATATGATTATTTCCGCTGGTTAAATAAATTATTGTAAATTCTGTGAATCATGCTGATTTAGATATTCTAGTTGTATTTCAGTTATTATTATTGACCCATATTGAGTGTCAAAGTTGGCCATCTCGTCTCTACCATTTCGAGATTAGGCTTGATACTTACTAGGTAAACGTTGTTTACGTACTCATACTACACTTGCTGTACTTTTTGTGCAGGACCTAAGGTAAGTACTAGTAGGGGACCTATCATCTTACACCCACGTTATCCAGGGGCATAGTGGTGAGCTGCCTTTCTGAGCCGTTTTGTAGCTACTAGTGTCTCTCCTTGTATTTTTCATTTTGTCTATTTTTTTTTCAGACAGTATTTGAAGTTTTGTATAATCTACTGGCATACACTTATGACACCAGGTCTTGGCACACACATTGGCAGAATTTGATGTTTTATTATTTTTCTTGGTTTTAAATTTTATCAATATATGCTTAATTTATTAAGTTGGCTTGCTTAGCTGTAGTGTTGGGCGCCATCACAACCTATAGGTGAAATTGGGTTGTGACACGTAAGCCTGGAGGCGGGGGGAGGGGGGACGTAAGCCCCACGGCCGGGCGCTTGGGGCGTAAGCCTCACAGAACTAAGCCTCATACGTGATCCCTAGGATGTTTTGCAAGTGCCCCGTCGAGGGGAGAGTCCCAAAAATGCCTTTTAAAATACTAATATTTAGTAACGCTACTCACTAAGGCTTCAATAATATTATATAAGACATATATGTTGACGGTTAAGATAATATTTTTATGAATTCTGGCAATTTAAAAATCTCAATTTTGCAGAACTAAATAGATGTGAGTATAATTCGTTTTTAATATCAAAGTCGTCATCAAATTGTTTATTTTCATATATTGCAACTTTATTATAAAACTTGAATTATTTATTTAAATAACCTCTATCACATCGAAAAAGAGTATAAAATCTAGTATTTTTTATTAATAAATCTGTAATATGTAATAATGTTTAATTTGAAAATTTTGGGCCCTTCAATTCTAGGGGCCTAAAGCAATTGCTTTAGTGGCTTCACCTAGAGCCGGCACTACGTTCGTGTTTGCAGTAGCAGAAGTCCATATACACAATCAATATTATTGTCACAAAGACTTTGTATAAGTTATAATGTATATCATTCTTTACAGTTGTATTATCTTTTATAAGGTATGAATATTATTACTCCTATTAATTTAACATGCGAGTAATAAGGAGCCAAAAAAATCCTAAGAAAGGTGTAACAGTTTTGCTCATGTTTAGCCAGACATATGTAGCAATTTCCTTAACCAATGGAACTATCCAATTGACAGAAGCCGTTTCTCCCTTATAAACAATGCCCTCTTTCCTAAAATAGGAAATACTGGCGGTCCTTCATCCATAAGGAAATAGGTATCACCACCAAATTAAAAGCAAGTTATTTCCTCCTCCTCATCCACCATAATGCATCCACATCCGCCGCCTTATACAAAAGCGCCGCGCTATAGCGGTGAGTATTACTATGAGGAAAGGCCAAGAGGAGGAAACCCTTGCTTGAAATGCATTTGCTGCTGCTATTGCATCCTATTTTTCATCATCCTTCTCGTATCCGCCCTCGCCTTCTATTTCTACACGGTCTACCAACCAAAATTACCACATTACAACGTTGAAGCACTTGAGGTTAAGGAATTCGGATATCAACCTGATTTCACCCTCACAATGGCTATTATTGTCACTATTAAAGCAGAGAATCCTAACAAAGCGATAGAACTAACTTACGGGGAAGCTAGCTCTATGAACGTGACCTACACTGATTCAACATTATGTTCTGGAAAATTACCAGCTTTCCATCAGGGACATAAGAATACAACCATAATCCAGGTTGAACTCAAGGGAAAAAGTCAGTTTGGATCAGGTCTATATGAGGCAATGCAAGAAAATGAAAAAAATGGCAAAGTTCCATTATTGGTGATAGTTAAGGTACCTGTGGAGGTTCTGTTCGGAACACGTCGTTTAAAGCAATTCAATGTGCTTGCAAACTGTTCTTTAATTGTGAATAACTTGAAGGCAGGCAAGAAAGCTGAGATTGTTGAAAGCAAGTTCACCTACAAATTATCACACTGATAAAATCCTCCCCTGGATCTTCTCAATTTTTTTAAGTGTATATATATGGTTGTAGTATTTTATTGGTTCGTGACCTTAGAAAACGAACCATGGCAGTTCTCTTCCTTGTATCAATTCTGAGAAAAATATATCATACAAGTACAATATATAAGGATTAATTGAGAGCAAATATATAGTTTCTTAGGCTTTTTGATTTGCAGTTTTGCACGTTACTCTTGATCTGAACAAATAAAGATTTGTTCCTACGTTTCTTATGGCTCCTAATTTAACTTTTAATTTTTTTCCATTTCCCCCCTTCGCATTATTTTATTTGGGGGAGGGATGATGTGGATCGAGCGTATAAGCAGTAAGTGCATGCATTTGCAACCAATATCTCGAATTCTAACTATATATACATGTATATGGAATATTAATTTTTTTCTTTGATAATATGTATACAGTATATACAAGTTCGGACACAGCCTCTCTACCTCCACAAGGTAGGGGTAAGGTGTGTGTACACACTACCCTTCTCAGACCCACATGTGGGATTACACTGGATTTGTTATTGTTGGTGGTAGTGTATACAGTATATATAAGCAGTATATTTTTTAAAACATCACAAGGATTGCCCTAAAGCTTTTCAATTTGTTCTTCGAGTACTGCATAAATAAGCTCTACGTACTCTACAGAAGCTGCTTGCAACTTGCACAATTCAGATTTTAATCCATCGAAGTAAAGAGCAGGATATTACACTAAGTTCTCGCAATGTGCAGCATCCAATGAACGTCCAGGCTACATCTGAATAAGTTAATGATGACAAATTTTTCTTTCCTATAACATCAACAAATTGGTTCCTCTGAAAATCCATAAAAAAAGGAGCTGCATATTTCTTAGCAAGGCATGGAAAAAATATATTCATATCACTGCTAAAGCAAGACATTAACTCTCTATATATATTTAGATGTGTGTCTGTGTGTTACTCCTTCAGAGAGCTATTCTGGAGATGATTTCCTCTTCTTGTCCCCAATTCATTTCACCAGCAAATCATTAACGTAGTTAATATTACGACTCAAGGACTCAAGATGATGTGGGACCTATCTAAAAAAAATGATTGGAGGAAATTGTGATTATGGACGGTGGGTCTATGTTCTAATTTTCAAATTGTATATGGGCAGCTAAAAAATTTGTAATTTGCAATAATTGCAAAAATCAAATTTGATTAGCTGAATTAGACGGCTCCTTTCTTTATAAATAGAGCCATTGAGTTTCATCTCAAACACGCCAAAAATAAGAGAGAAGTATTAGAGTTGTGAGAGTAATCCACACATTATTTTATAGTCTGTGAGAAAATAGAGTGAGAGTAATATTGTGGTGAGATATTTAAAATAAATAGTGTTATTTCTTTTGAGTCGTAGTAGTCTTTTGACACTACAAAGTAGTAATATTATAGTGGTATTATATTTCTCCTCTCGTATATTGTATTTTACCCCGTTAAAAGATTTGGTGTTATTGTTACTCTCTTGTGTCATTATTATTTATCGTGGATATTATTCCTAGGCGGGATATTATTTTTTCCAACAACGTAGTATCAGAGCCATGGCGAATAATGGTCTGTTGTCTTTTCTATACCTCTGTCTCACAAAAGATAATTCTGAAAAATGGTGTATGCGTATGAAAACCATTCTTGGCTCTCAGGATGTGTGGGAAATCGTAGACAGAGGGTATGAAAACCCCGATAATGAGGAAGCTCTGCCTCAAAATGAAAAAGTTATCTTGGCAAAGATAAGGAAGAAGGATCAACAAGCCCTTACGCTCATCCACTAATGTTTGGATGATGCCATGTTTGAGAAGGTGGCAAATTCTACCACCTCAAAGGAAGCTTGGAAAATTTTATAAAATTTTCTTCAAGGTGAGGAAGGTAAAACTTCAAACTATAAGGGCTGACTTTGAAGTTTTAAAAATAAAAGAATCCGAATGCATTTTGGATTATTGTTCAAAAGTGAAGGCTGTTGTAAATCAACTAAGAAGATACGAGTAGGACATAGAAGATGTGCGTGTGGTAGAAAATATCCTTCGCACTTTAACACCTACATTTGATTTTGTGATGTATGTTATTGAGGAGTCTAAGATTTAGACTCTATGATAGTGGAGCAATTGGAGGGTTCTTTACAGGCCCACGAAAAAAAGATTAAAGGGAGACAAGAAGTGCCACTGGAGCAACTTCTTAAAACTTAGGCATCCTTTAAGGAGTATGGAGGTGAAAAGATCTATCGAGGAAACGGACGAGGACGAGGCTGTAGCAGTCATGAAAGAGGAAGAAGTAACGGTAACAACTTGAATAATGAAGTTATAATCCGCCAAACATTCAGAGGTCGTGGTCGTGGATAGGACGTGGCTATTACCAAGAAAATAATGGACAAAGATATGACAAATCAAAAATTGAGTGTTATAATTTTCATAAATTTGGCCATTACTGTAACACCCCAAAATTTTACTAATATTTGCATTCTTGATTGAGCATCTTTATAATGAGGAGATATTTTACTTCTCACTTCCTAAACGTAAAATTTATAATATATTAAAATTCCTTACTTTAGGTTGTGTTAATATTGACAAAGAAGTTTCATGGTGTTGCTATGTGTAACACTTAATATTATTTTGATGAATTATTTAAAATACATTAGATATCTAAGGTTTTGGGCTTCCACTCTTTTGTATTTATCTAAAGATATTTAGTAGTTGGGTAGCCACTTTTAATTCATATTTATCCAAAGTTCTTAAAGATAATTATTTTGATTGACTTGCTTTTCCACAAACTCCTCTCATATTTTATTCTCTCAAGACAAAGAAAACCCCTACCCTCTCTCCTTCTTATCACCTGAAAAACTTCATAAAAATCATCATAAATTTCCACTAAACCAACCAGCAAAATTCGTTCTTGGTGAAGCTCAAGTTGCTCCTCTCTTTTGTGGTAAGTTACTAAACCCGTTTTTATACTAGACAACTATTAGTATTTTCTTCATATCTTTTTTATATAAAGCTCCGTTTTAAGTGATCCAAGACTTTCTGGAAAGTAATTTCATAGATCTATAACTCTTATGAAGGAACCAAAACCTGGTTTGTCTTTTATTTACTCGAAAATAGGTGATGAAGTACAGGGCAGGTGCTACCCAGATTTTCTATTTTACAAAACCTCCCTGTACTATTGTTAGTAATTTTAGCATAACATTTTGTACAAAATTGATATGGGGTGATTCAAAGATGTTCTGAAACACTAAGACACATATATACAACTGTAAAGAAGATCATACAGTCTATTTTGTCCTTTTGCATCTTCAAATCTGAGTCATAACACGAGCAAGTGATACTGTCCAGAATTTCTATTTCAAACATTTTGGGTAATTTTCACCAATGTCATGTTTAATTTGACATGTTAAATCACTGAACTTATAGAGATATTTGATTCCTTGTAAAATCTAAGGGGAAGTATTTGAGGAAGTGGACAGATTTGGTTTGTCAATGGCGTAGACGATTCGAACGTCCTCTAAGTTGTGGTTGAACTGTTTTGTGGTAAAACACCAAGGTTTGTGTATAAACTTTGTACTCTTTTTTACTTGCTAGAATATTTTAAAATAACCTGATATTTTATTTTATTTTTGTCTTCAACTAATAGCATTGTATTCGTGTTATATCAAGTATTGCAAGATATTTGCTAAATCGCCCATTCGTACAGATTGTTTGATCATTTTGCATTCTTGTTGGGACTTTGTCCTTCTTGTGGCAGTGACTTTGTCACTCATCTTGGCATGCTTCTTGATTTGGATCTTTTTCCATCTTGACTTTGGATTTGTAGCTCGTCTTAAATTATGAAACTTGTCCGTGTTAATTACAAACTAGGAAGCCATTTTTAATATGGTTCTTCATTCTATTGACTATTGGGTTTTGACCCTACTTAATTTGGGGCTTCAATCCATCTTGATATCCGATTTTACTTAGTGTGATGGCATGACATACATATTGGGCGAAAAATGGATATTTGACAAACTCTCTTGGATTGATAGTATATGCTTTCTCAACTCTTGAATCTTGAACATTGTTATTGATATTTGGAAACACTTCAAGGGTTGATATTTGATACTTTTGATATATTTGTTCACTTCTTTTAAATTATGTTTCATTTGAGCTACCTATGACTGAAAATGGGAATTGGAGAAGTTAATGGCTCCAAGCCCAAAGTTTATACGCCACTAAGCTTTATGCTTAGCGATAGTTATTTTCTATCATAGGTAATGTACGGGATGAAATTTGAAGACGGCCTTATGAAGTAGTGTTTTTGGGAGAACTTATGGAGATTACATTTGCATATGAACCTTGGTTTTGTATAGTTTTGGGACATGTACATAATATATATGTCACACTTATATATGTTATTTGGAGGCTTGTTGGATCTTAAGACCCAAATCTTATAACTTGAATTTGGTAACTTATTTTGTTGTTTTAGGGTGTGTTAATAACTCAAGTCTTGTAATATACTGAATTTACACTTTATCTTGTAAGTATGTACAAAGGAGAAAATTAGTTTTCCTTTTTATACCCGATAGTTTAAAATTTATGTAAAATACAAACTTGCAGTGATGTTGAATGAAAGTATAATTTTGTTAGAAAGTTGCTTTAAAGTATTGATTATTAAAAAAAAATAGCTTATATCACCTTATGTTGATATTTTGACATTGTATTTTATTTTTTTAATTAATTATAAAGTGTATTTTCAAAAATAAAAATATTGCACTTTGGACCTCATCGCATGGGCCTATTTCTGCTACTAAATTATTCTAAAAGTTTTTCTTCAATTATATCTTCTTAATGTTATAAGTAGTAAATTAAATTTGTTTCGTAAGTAGCACCCTCCCAAAGGGGTTGCTACAAGTTTTGGTATCAGAGCCTAGGTTTATAATTCTAGGATTCTTGTTGTGATCGTGCCTAATATTTGTTGTTATTTTCTTTGTTGAAAATGACTTGGAGATTATAAATTTTTGCATACTTGTTTAATTTAATTTGTTGTATTCCTTGTGCATATGCATCATGCACATGTCCCTAATGCAATGTGATCTTATCTTTTAAAGGAATTTTAATATGACCTCTTCTTTGAATAAGGCTATTGAATCCGTTGCTGAAATTCAGACCCATTATAATGCTCCACCCCACCTCCAA